ATATAAGCCTACAGAGTCATGAAGCTGTTTTATTTTAGCTTTAGACTCTCCAATTCCTTCATTTGCAATAACTGCTTATCCTTGCAAGGTCGCGCAGGGGACCTTTTGACTACTCCAGGGGTCATCAGGTGAGAGGCAGGGTACACCCTAGACAGGTTGCCATTTCATCACAGGGAAACCTGGAGAGCAATTTAGAGAATTAACGAATTAACCTCACAGTCATTTTTTCTAATGTGGGAGGAAGCCAGAGTACAAGGAGAGAACTCACATCTGCTAAGATTAGACTAAGATTAGAACCTGTTTTAGGTCAGTTAGTCACCAAATTTATATCCATCTACTGAAATTGGCATAAGTCATAAAATTATTTAACATTTTCTCATTTTCTCATCTAGCAAAAAGAAATAATTGATGTAATTCTAACTGACATCAAACAGGAAAAGTCGGGTATGATTTAATGTCGGTGTCATGACGGTGTGTTTTATGCAATGTATCCAATATATTACTGAACTGTATAGTACCCTTAAAATTGATCAACAGCTAAAATGATATGTCTTAGGTTAGCAATTGATCCAGATGTTGTATTTTTAATGCAGGTGCCACAGCTCAGGTCTACGGTCATCAGTCTGTTCGGTCTCTTCCCTCTGTCCGCCATGACATCAGTCGCTATCAGAGAGTAGATGAGCCTCTGCCTCCTAGTAGGCGTTTGCATATCCTACATGAAATGTACAGGAATACTCAGAACTTGATGTGTCGCTTGTTTTTATTCCAACTAACTTCAGAATAACTTCCTGTTATTGTAAAGCTTCATTGCAGGTTGACAGGTTGGCTCCATTTCTGACTGAGCAGCAGCTCAGTATAACAAACTGGCCACTGTCTGGCAGAAGTTATGAACTACAGCAGAAATATTATTACCACATAAATTAGGGTACAATTAACAGAAATAAAATGTAATGTTCCAACAGAAATAAGGGTATAAAAAGTGTTTGTTTGCTCTAAGTTACATTTTCTTAAGTTTTCCTAAAGTTTGACTATGACAGATTCAGGGGCAGACATTTTCCTTTACATTCATTCATTTGTTACATACATTCTGAGTTTTTGTTGCTCATTGTGATTTGTGTTTCAGTCTGAAACCTTTCCCACTATCTTCCTAATCCAGATTGGGAGGCTCGCATCGACAGTCATGGTCGCATCTTTTATGTGGATCATGTGAACAGAACAACAACATGGCAGCGGCCTACTGCTCCTCCGGCCCCACAGACTCTACAGAGGTCCAGCTCCATACAGCAGATGGAACAGCTCAACCGCAGGTCAATACCAATAGTTTCAGTTCCATGAGTGGTAGTCATCATGTTCAGAGTTCCTGTAAAAATAAAAAGGTTAGGAGGTTGTTCTCGTTCTGATTGGAGGATCACCACTCATTGCTGGCACCTAAAATTCTTATTTCATTAGAAGCAAAAACGATGCTAAGTGGGTCATGAAAGTCACATGAGAAAAGGATTTTAATAATACACTAATCTTTCCACCTTTACACAATGTTTAGCTAGTATTTTGTATTGACATTCACATGTGCAGGTATCAGAGTATCCGAAGGACCATAACAAATGATAGCAGACAGGAGGAGCAGCCAGCCAATGAGCTGCTTGGGGATGAGACTGATATGCATCCATCTGTTCCAGGTAGCACCCTAACCATACTCTGCCATTAAAATACACCACTCAGCTTACTACCTTTTGTCATGTTATAACCACAATGTATGTGTTTAATCTGCACAAACTAGAACATATTTGGAAATTGTAAGGAAAATAAACTGCATTCAAAGTTTCAAATATGAATGATGTGTGTTTCTGTACAGTCCATACCTTTCAAGTCTCCTGTTTTGGCTGGGAAACGACCCGTTTTATCCTCCTTTCCTGCCGTGGTCCTCTTTTATTATTTTTCCCATAAATGTCCTGTCTTGTGTGCATCCAAAAACAGTTGCAAGAGGTGGTTCTTCAAGCTTCTGACTGAGGGAAGCTGAATTGAATACTTTTACACCGCCCACTTTCTTAGTTTTGTTTGTTAAAAAAAAAGATTGAAACCATACATCTTTTGCCCACTCACTGCATTTATTTTACTGTATTTTATGTGTATTCAGTTTGTGGTTGTAACATTACAAAATGTTGAAAAGAGGCTTTTCCACCCCTTGTCTGCTTTCTTTTTTTCTGACATTGCTCATTTCCCTTTCAGAGCTCCGGAGGGAAAACGGTGCGGCTCAGGCCAGTTCCAGATCTCGCATCTCCTTGCTGCTGCAGTCCCCCACCGCCAAGTTCCTCACCAGTCCTGACTTCTTCACTGTGTTGCATTCCAACCCTGTATGTACACTGCTCAAAAGTACTTTGCAATACAAACCGGTCTAATCAGCCCAGGTATATAACCTGCTAGTAGATCATAAAATGCCTGTAAATATAAGATTGCCTATCTAAGAGAAGGCAGCTGATCACCTCCAAAAAATAGATGACGTGGAAAGAATGTGTTGTGGAAATATTAAAGCAGCACCACGAGACATCAGCACAAAGTTAGTTTGGTCACAGTTATCTTTTCTGAATAGACAATGTTCCTCAGCATATCACCAAATTAGTTACAAAACAGTTGAAGGACAACAAACTTAATGTTTTGAAGAGGCCATCACAAAGTCCTGATCCCAGTCCCAGAGAAGCAGTGAAGAAGTTCACTGCTGCAAGATGGCCACCAGTTCTATCAGGATGAATGAGTCAAAATTCTAGTAAACGTATGTGGCAAGATTTTGGAAGGAAATCCAAACCACATGACCAAAGTCAGAAAATTTTAAAGGAGAAGTATTATGTAAAATCTACTTTTTGAGCTGTACATCATGTTATAATGTTACTCCCTCATCAAAAACATACCTGGATTGGTACTTTGATTCTTTCATGCATGTTTGAGAAATCCTTTAATTTACCATGACAACTGTGCAAATGCCTGGGTGGAACTACTGCTGCCTTCAAGACACAGCTCCTCTGAGCTGCAGTGTCCAAGCTTTAGCATCGCTCCACCACACAGCTCCTTAAGACTATCAGCAGCAATTAGCAAACACCTGGTGGAACTGCACATCTCCTGAGCTCATTATACAAGCTATTTCTCAGTGTTGAAGTGAAATTATATTGTGATGACTTCCTGAAGACAGAGTTTCAGAAAGAGCAAGAGTTTTTAAAGAGACAGAGGCCCAATTTCAAGGGGTTAAATTATGACGTCAAATTTATTCTAAGTTATATTTGATATAAATGTAGCATTTTTATAACTGAAGTTAACATATTTAGTTGACTATCCTGTAAAATGGCACTGTGCATGGAAAACACATAATGCTGCTCCTTTAAAGGGAGTAAATAAAATTTTCATTTTGTATTTTCCAAGTAAAAAATAATTTTCCTAATTGACCTAAAGCAGAAAATGTTTAGTCAGATTTAATATCAAATGTTCAACATTTTTATAAACTAAACTGTATATAAATGTATAGGGTGACTGTAAATCCCATGCACTTCCACAGTAACAGTGTTTTATACTTTACCAAACAATAATTTCACTGATAACTGTACATTGATTGCTAATTTCTCTGATTGTTCTTCTTCTTCCTGTGAACTCAGAGTGCCTATCGCATGTTTACCACCAACACATGTCTGAAGCATATGATCAGTAAGGTTCGTAGAGATGCACACCACTTTGAGCGCTACCAGCACAACCGTGACCTGGTGGCTTTTCTCAACATGTTTGCGAATAAACAACTTGAGCTGCCCAGAGGCTGGGAGATGAAGCATGACCACAGCGGCAAGGTCTGGCTGAGAAACAAATAGTCACTTTGTCTTAACAGTTACAGATTGCAATCTCAACAACTTTAAGTTTATGACATTTTGTTCATATGTAGCCTTTCTTTGTGGATCATAACTGCCGTGCTACCACCTTCATTGATCCTCGGCTGCCTGTTCAGAGCTCTCGTCCAAGTCTTCTATCTCACCGCCAACATCTTACCCGACAACGTAGTCACAGTGCTGGGGAGGTCAGTCCAAGGCAACTGGTAAGACTGAAGAAATTTCAAATTTTAACTGTTCTTTGACATCGGATAACAAGAGCTTATGGGGATTTAGAGCTGATTATGCAACTGACACATACTAGCAAAACAACTGAAGACGATTGACTGCATGTTCATCAAATCTGTATCAATCAAACTAGCCAAATATAGTTTCACACAATTCATAGCCAGGATGTGTTTGCAGAAACTCGTTCACAAGAAATGGATATCCTCCAATGACTAATAAAGTGCAAAACCAAGCTTCCCACCTAGGTTTACTCTCTAGGTTTAAGACTACAGTTCGCTACATGGGCCTTTTAAAGGCCTGTCATTTTTCCATGCTACATAGAGGTTGCTTAAAGGGTTGCAGAATTATGAGAAATTCAAACAAAATTGAAACAGGAAAAAAGGTAATTATTTTTTTCTTTCTTTACATTAGAGTAACAAATTTTACAAAGTGATGCAGAAATATAGTCACTAACTGCATTTTCATTGACCATGTAATTGTGCAATTTGGTATTTTGGAAATCAATTTGCTCACACCAATTACAGAAAAACTCAATTGTCAATAAAAAGTTCTGGCGGTAGGATGAGGTGGTTTTTTTGGCCACAATGAAATTGATTTATCTTGACAAACTGGAATGGAAACTTTGTTTGCGTCATATGATCAACAACTGGATGTTACACTGGTACAAACCACAAAGAAGACCACAGGAGTTGGAAGACCAAGACACAGCATGTCTTTTAATGACTTGTTGCGTGCACAAACCTTTAATTGCTTTTCTTATTTAATGGAATCTTTGTAATTGTGAAAAAAAAAATTCTACATTAGAGGAAAATTAACAAAGTTTTACGTACATTTCTAATGGAAGCACAGTTTAATACTTCCCTCATTAAGGAATGAAGAACAGTGTTTAAGAGCAACAATCTTTATAAAACAGTATGGGAAAATAGACAGGCACCCTAGTGTTAACAGATGTGGTTGATGGGCAAAATTGCCTGAATATTTACTTGTTATATCATGTTGTGGAGTCAGATTAATATTTTGTCTGTATATCATTGTTTTTTGTATGTCCTCCTGTCATTACAGGTGGGTGAAGAAACGCATCACCCTGGTCCTCCAGTCTTGCCACGACCCTCTAGTACCTTCACCTCAGCTAGCAGGGGGCAGTGCCAAGAGGTTGTACCTGTGGGTCAGTATAATACAGACAGACAAGCACACATTCACTCAGACAGTTAAAATTCAGGCATTGTGAAAAATTCTTACCAAAAATCTTTCATAAGCTTGTTCTCTTTGAAGTAGGTTCTTTTCTGTCAGTCTTTCCAGTTTAAGACACTCTTAGGGTCACTAAAATCCCTCCTCACTACGCTTAATGTTTTTTTTTTCATATTAGAAACTCTCTTAAAGCCTAAAATGTTTGTGAATAACTTTAAGCTTAGAGTTTAAATTCTAAGAAAAATCTTAAAATTCCAGAAATTCTATAAATTATGTCACTACTCATAGTGATGTCATTTTACAAAAAAGAAAAATGTTTGCCCATTCACACTGGAGAACACATACAGGTCACATATATTTGGAAGTGTGAACGGCCATGGCAAAACAATCAGATTTGACAACAAGAAAAAAAAATTGGAATTGTCACTTCAGGCTGCAGTGTGAATGCAACCTTAATCTGACTCAACAACATGAATTAACAACTGAATATTCGGTCCATTTTACTCATCAGCTACTTTATCTTTGGATTCTTTGAGAATATGGGCCTAGCTTTCAATTATATTTAATGATCATGTGAGGGACCTGACTTAAACACAGATAAAAGGTGTTCAAAATGGCAAAAAAAAAAAAAATAATAATTTTAATAATTCCAAAAATGGTTAAAAAAACATTAGGTTTTAGCCAAAAATGAGTCAAATGAAAAATGACAGATTTTGGCCTAACTTAACTGAGATCAACTAAACACTAACTGAACAAACAAAACTGACCTCCAAACAAAGAACAAAAGGCTGCTTTAATAGGGGTGGAGTAACTTAAACCCATCACACGAGGGAGGCGCAACATAACAAAGGAACAAACAAATACAAAATTACCTAAAACATCCTATGAAACAAATAAAGCAAAACTAACTTTAACTTGGCACAAACAATAATAAGTGAATATTTAATTGACAAAATAAAACAATTAAAATAAACTTTAAACAACATACCAGGCTTCCTCCTCCAGCCCGTATGTGTTGGCAGCACCTCAAACAAAAGAAAAAAGCATGAGTAAAACCATTCAGACAAATATTAACTAAAGTGTGCACCCATTAGAAAATATTTCTAAATAAAATGACTAACTTAAACATAATGTAAGTTATTACTAATAAAGTAAATTAAGAAAAATAAATCCTATCTGTTGGTGGTAGGAGCATCCACCACCGATTCCACATCCACTTAAAAACATCCAAATAATTTCTGTCGGCTTTAAGATGGAACTTTTAACCCACAAAGGTAATTTCTTTCATCCACAGAAATCAATACCTACTTTAATATTAATTAAAACATAACATTATCTTCAGAAACAGTTAGTCCATAATTCATGATGCGACATGTCCGGTACCACATTTTTAACTTTTTGATCTTTGTAGCTTTATTTAATGAAACAAATAAAACTGACCCGCTTGTTTCTTGTCTCATATAGCTTACAATGATAAGATTGTGGCTTTTCTTCGACAACCAAACATCTTTGAGATTTTGCAGGAGAGACAGCCGGACTTCAGCCGAAACCATGTACTCAGGTACACCAACATGTCTTCTTTCATTGTTACAATGTTTTACGTTATGTATTTCTCAGTTTGTTTACTTTTTAAATTCAGTATAATATGTCAGAATGTGAGTGCATGGCAGCCTGTCTTCTGTCACCCTGCCCCAGAAGAGCCCTGGCGACAATGTAGCTTGCCACCATTGGGGTGTGTGTGAATGTAGTGCTAAAGTGCTCTGGAGTTCTCTGGACTAGAGAAAGCATTTGTGTCTATTTGTGTCCTGGCTGATGTCTTGAATATTTTCATGCTTCAATATTTTCATGTTCTTCAAAATGTTTGAGATGTTATCTCAGGTTTGCAAGCTTCCTCCATTTTCTTCCAAATTATTTAGTTGAAATGTACAAACTAGTTGACTTTTCACAGTTTGTGCTCTAACTGTATTAGTAAAATATCAAGACATATTAGAGATAACTCAAAATAAACTACTTTTAATTTAGAAATTCATATCATTCTTTCAATTAAAAAAAATATATTTAAAAAAATGACAAAATGCAAATAAAGAAGGAGAAATCCTTGTTGATGGAATGTTTGATGTGGTATCAGGGAGAAGGTCCAGCTGATCCGCACAGATGGCGTTTCAGGACTGACCCGACTGTCAGGAGATGCGGACCTTGTCATCCTGCTGAGGTGAGACATCCCTGCTGTTTTACCCCCCATTGTCTGCCTGTGTGTTTCTATCCCACCCTAACAGCCATTCTCCAAATGGCCCACAGTGATCCAGATGTGGTCACCAAATATGATCCTACACACCACATATTGCTTATCAGGTGTTGATAGAACTCTTTGCTTCATGTAGCATCATTTTTTCAGTCCTTCTGGGCAACCATAATCCAGTAATGGCTTGAATTGATAGCGGGAGTGTATGGGCTGGCGAGTTGCCTCAACACAGGCATAATGAGGAGCCAGACTAATATCAGAATAATTTTATTGTCATTGTCAGAAAGACAATGAAATTGTAGTACCAGTACAACCATCCTTTACACAACAACACGAGGGGGAGGGGGGGGACTGTTGGCTGAGGCCTTGGAGCCCGACAGGCACCGCCTTGCAGAGGAAATGGGAAAAATAAGAAAAACATCAGGTAAGGACAGGAAAAAAAACAGCATGTCTCACTTTGCTCTTTGCAGGGCAGAGTTTGAGATGAAGGAAAAAACCTCGGCACCTAAGCACATATAGACACATATAGACAAAACAAGCCTGGTACAAGGAGGAGGTGTGACGTGCAAAGGGGTCTCATGTGAGTTATGTGTGTGTCAGACCATGAACCCTAACTGAAGAACACGATTGTGAGTATGATGTCAGAGTTCACCACCAGCTTATCAGTTCAGGGCCTACAGATGTTCTCATGGGGGGGGCAGCAGAACAGAGCCTTTCTTAGACATAACAACCAGGGGAGGATAGCCGGCCAGCCAAGGCCACCCCGGGGAACCAGATTCCGATAGCAATAATTTGTAAAGTCTCGCTGGTGCTTCTCAATGGCAAAGCCAAACATCCGAATTTAGGGTCTCCCGTCTGATCCGTGCGAACAACATTCTCCAAGGTCACACCATATCCATTCTGAGTCCGAGATCCGCTGCCCGTCCACGGTCCTTTTCCAGGATCGCATCCAGTCTGCGGCTCGGCTTCCGTATCATCTCAGTCTGAGTGTTGATCGCTCTGCAGATCCCATCATCCGTACCCAGCAGCCTCAAAGTTGCCAAAATGGCTGCCGGCAACTTCTGAAATTTCCGATAAGCCAGGTAGCCACCAACTCCAATAAGCAGAAAACTTATCATAAATCCAATCATGTACACATCTTCAACATCCTCGACTGACGGCGTCGTCAGACACACGGTCTTCCACTTCCATGTAGAATCCATCGTATATCCAGCGAAGAATGTCCC